CTCATCTTTTTAAGTGGGAGAACTTGCACAATTGGTGGCTGACTAAATACTTTTTTGCCCCATTGTATGGTATTAGTCCAACAAATAAAGAAGGATTTGGAAAAATAAGGGAAGCTACAACTATCACTTTTAGGTAGGATTGCGACTATTAAGATGAATATTCTACCCAAATTATTATACTTATTTCAGACAATCCCCATACCATTAGACAAGAAGTTTTTTGGAGAACTCAATAAAATTATTGCAAAATTTGTTTGGCTAGGAAAGAAGGCGAGGATAAAATTAATTTCTCTCCAAGAGAGTAGAAGTAGGGGCGGCTTTGGACTCCCGGCATGGGATTTCTACTACAAGGCAGCAACTCTGGTCTGGATAAGAGACTGGGTTAACTTAAATAACAGGAGAATCTTAACTCTGGAAGGGCACGTTTTACAGAAGGGGTGGCATGCCTTCATGTGGGACAAAGGAAACAGGACACACTCATATTTCTATAGACATAAAATAAGAGATGCATTGTTACAAACCTGGGAGGATATAAGAAAAAAACATTATAGGAAAATTCCTGGTTGGTTATCCACCATGGAGGCAATTATCCACCCCAACACGTTAGATATAAGCAAAATGCCCAGATACTCTGAAATTCTAGACAAACAGGGAAAGCTCAAAAATAATCAGTTATTAAAAGAACAAGGAATATCCATTGATTGGTGGCCATATTTACAACTGCAAGATACAGATACAAGAAAGATGTGGAAAAGTATGGAATTGACACGGAACCAAAATAACTAGACAAACTATTGATAGGCCCCGAAGGAAAATTAATATCTAAAATATATAATTATTTATTAGAATTTGACAGAGTAAAGGAGATGGTGAAAGAACCGATGATTGCATGGACAAAAAACATAGGACACAATATAGAATTAGAACATTGGAAAATAATTTGGAATAAAAATTACACCATAACCAAATCTGCTGTATATAAGGAAAATCAGTCTAAAATGCTATACCGCTGGCACTTAGCCCCAGCAAGTGTGCAAAAATGTACCCAAATCCAAACCCAAAATGTTGGAAATGTAACCATCGTCAAGGTACCTTCTTTCATGCTTGGTGGTCATGTCCTGAAGCGAAAAAATACTGGACTAAGATACAAAGGTGGCTACACGAGCTAATAAAATGCCAAATGGAACTAAACCTGGAAACATTTCTCCTGGGAATACTTAAAAAGAAATTTGACAGGAAAATAAGATATTTGATTCTACACATATTAACTGTGGCAAGAATAGTGTTTGCGCAATACTGGAAGGAACGCAATATACCACCAGAGGGATTGATTATTCAGAAGATATATAAATGTGCTGAAATGGATAAACTCACTTTAGAACTAAAAGAAAGATGATTCGGAATTTTACGCGGTTTGGGAAAAATGGTATATATGGCTAGATAATAGAAACAAAAATTGGAAACATACATAAGGTTACTGTGAGTTAGATATTGAATGTATATAGTGTATACATTGTATAGAATGTTGATTCGAAGTATGTAAAAATGACACAATCTGCTGAATATGTATTAGAGTTGTATAAAGGAAAATGGTAATAAAAATTACAAAAAAAGGAAAAAAAGAAAAGACATAGCCTCTGCTTGCCTCTGTCCCCGCCTCTCTTGACATTCATGCCACCTCAGGCTGTGCAGCCCAAGAGTGCTCCGCCCAAGGGGCTGGTGGGCTGCGGCTGCTGTTGATACCATCAGCCCCCATGTGCTTGCCGCCTGGCTCCTGTGTGTTCACCACTTGCTTCTGTGCATGCACCGGGGAGGGCGCCTAGCCAGGCTGATGTGATGAAAAAAAAAGTCATCACCTGAAAATGAGCCCTAATGGGTCTTTTGGAGCAAAAATTAATATAAGACCCAGTTTTATTTTTAGGGAAATATGGTAGTTGAAAATGAGAAATGCTACTTTGACACTATTAGTGTTTGCAGCTTTGATAGCAGGAGGCTATGTGATTATTTCAACAGTCATTGAAATGAAACTTTGAAGCCCTGTTTCTTTTTTTCTTCTTAGACATTACAGAATAGTGCATAAAGGAATTCTGAATGTTCAAGGATATTGACTGTCTACAAGTGTCTCAGGTTCATAATTCTGAAGTATTTTGAGAAATTGTGACAAGAGGAAGTTTTTGGAAGTGGACCAATTCACAGATAATATCAACAAGAAATTGCTAAGAATTGTGCCCTGTTTTCAGCAGATGGGAAGAAAGATCACTTATTTTTTCTAGGCCAGAAACATCTTTACATGTTTTCGTTCATATAATTCTGGTAGTACCAGTAATGGGCTCATTACTACCTGTGTTTCCCTGAAAATAAGATCCGGTTTTTTGTTTTTTGTTTTGCCTTCAAAAGAGGCGACATCGACAACCCCACCCAGTCGGCCCACTTCTTCTGTGGCTGCTCACTGCAACTTGGGCATGTCACCCCCAGCGTCCATTTAGCTGTCCGGGACCTTGAGGAAATGCCTCTGCAGCTGAGAATGGAGCTTTGGATTGATGCACACATCAAATGGAAGCGTGTGCGTGACAGGCAGCAAGTGGCCACAGAAGTGGGCTGGCGAGGCAGGTATCAGGGCATGGGAGGCCTGGCTGCAATGGTAAGCGGGTGCTTACCTCCCATGCCCGGCCTAGCTTGATTTTTAGGCGTACACCTCATCCCAAAACTAGGGCTTATTTTGGGGATGGGTCTTATATTAGCCCCACCCCCAAAAAATCAAGCTAGGTCTTATTTTCAGGGAAATATCTGTGGTTTGTGAACTTGTAGATGTTCCTTTCTTGGGAGCTACTCAAAGTTTACAATACCATCTGGAGCCTGGGTGACATCTGAATATATGTTTCTCTGGATGGTGGGTATGTTCTCTTGGCCTATAGGTCAAGAGATGATGTGAAGCTTCATGTATCTTCTCTTACTCAATGTGAATGATAGCCATACTATTAGCACTATGTGTCACTGCCTTATTTGAAAAGTTGGATGAATCAGCTGAATCCACGGCTGTAATTTAGATGACCATGCATCAGCTGGTGCAATGTGTATTATGAGAGTTTTTACCGCCTACCTAAGGAAACAAATGCTGCTTTGAAGCTTCTCAGGCAGTAGTGCATATTTCATGTTTTCATAGTCCTTTGGATAGTTAGGAGATGTATTAATTGACTTCCTTCTGTTTCTTTCATGCATTTATTGTATCTTAGCAGTTAATTCCATTATATTTGAAATAAATTTCTCTGACTGAAAGGTTACTTCTCTTCAAAAAAGAACCAAATTTTGTTGCCTTTGCTGCCTTCTTCATTCTACAGTAAACTGAATAATATCAAAGGAAGTCTTTCCATTCCCTAACAGCAATATTTAGAAATCTACCCTTTAGCCAAGAACATTACAAGGTAATCTAAAAACTAGAGTTCAGGAATTCCCTTAATGCATATTATCAATAAGGAAGGCATATAAAATTAATTGTAGCAAAACAGCTTTTAAAAGTGTCTGAAATTGCTTGGCCGTTACATTCCCAAGCACTTTTTGTTTAAAAAAGGGGGACAGTTTTTTTTTAAAGATGATTCTAGTATTTAACTCCAGCAGTGTGATTAAAGTAACTCTTTCTGTTAGAGATTTATTAATGAAAGGATAGATGAGCAAGTTGCAGACTGGTCTTCTTCAAATTTGTTTTCATCATCCTCAAGAACATTTAATATCTGCAACTAACAGTTCCCCATCATCTGTCACTGGATTGATCATTCTGTGTTATTTAGCCTTCAGCAGAAAGAGAGTTGAATGGTTTCCTTTTATTATAATATAGTTAATACTTGTCCTTAAAAGTGAATTCTAGATTTAGGATATTTCTTAGTACAAACAGCAGAACTGCAAATTTAAAAATCTTTGGTCATAAAGACTTTAGAGCAGAACTAAATATTATTTTTCATTAATATGCAACACATTACATTTGCATTACACATAATACTTTTCTGTTACTTTAAAGTAATGAGTTTGCCAACTCTAATGGTAGTAGAATTCACTGACTGCCAGAATGGAAGGAGGAGTTCCCTGTTGCAATTCTGAGTGGTATTGTTAGAGAAAGCTATAAAGCCATAGCCATAAAAAGAGATTGTGAAGAAATTCAAATAGAACTAGGCTTGCCTTGATAAGTGAGTGACAGTTTAGGGTTGTGGTGGTGAACCTATGGCATGCGTGCTACAGGTAGCACACATAGCCCTCTCTGTGGCATGCGTGCTGTCGCCCCAATCCTATGCCTTCAGCTGGGTTTTATAAAACCCTTTTCGCTTTAGGCCTCTGCTGCTGTGTGCAAAAAAAAAAAGGTTCAATCACTCAATCAATTTCATCTTCTCGGGGGAAAAAATATCTTGCAAAGTTGGAATTGATTGGTTGAACTTTTCAGTCCCACTCTGTCTGCCGTTACCACCGCAGCCCGCCCACCCAAAGGGCCATGCCCACACGGCACCCAACAATATATAAGTGGGTTTTGGGTTGCAATTTGGGCACTCAGTCTCTAAAAGGTTTTCCATCACTGGTTTAGGGAAACCATTTTTAATGGAAATTGAAACATGAAAACAGCTATTAACAATAGCACTTAGATTTATATACTATCCCATAGTATTTTGCAGCACTCTTTGAGCATTTTACAAATGTTAGCATATTGCCCTCCCCCCCCAAAAAAATCTGAGTCCTCATTTTATCTACCTTGGATTGATGGAAGGCTCAGTCAACCTTGAGCTGTTCAGGATTGAACTCCAGGCTGTGGGCATTCTAACCACTGCACTATCAGGGCTCCCTTAATGTCATTTAAGAGAAATTTCTGTAAATAAGCATTACTTCTTATTTTATGCAAATCTTTTATTTTGTGGTTACAAAGTTTCTGATTCTTATTGCTAACTTCCTTACTCTTTATTTATCTATTCTCTTTTCTGATTTTACTGTCTTTATCTTCTGCTTCTTCATTAAATACTTAGGCATTAGAAAGGCAGAAAGTTTTCTTTGATTCCCTAAGAAGTGAGCAAGATGATCTTAGAGAGGAGGTGATTTTACTGGAGGAACAATTGAAGGTATGATGAAGCAAGCAAACATACACAAGCAAAAAATATAAAGTACAAAAGGTAGTAGTATTAAATAATAGCATTTTATTTCTGTGTACCAGAAAGAAGTTTTCTTTGGGTGTTCCATTATTTGATGAACTTAAACTAGCTGTGGCACATCATTGTTTTCTTAAGTAATTGTATTCTCTCATTATGCTGCTCTTGAAGTGCATTCAACAACATTTGGAAATTAGGAAGAATTGATATTGGACAAAAACATATATGTAAATATTTCAAGCTGTAGCCTGAAGTTGTATCATGAATTGTTTTTTCTTAGGTTGTAGCATAATCTGTGAATATCACCACTTGCTGCAAAAGTTTTAGTACTGTTATCTAATTATTTATTACATTCATACTAGTCTCATACCTTGCATTCATATGATTTTATTATGCAGGATTTCAAACATACTTTATATGAAAATAATGTTATAAATATATTTTGCAAACATACTTTATGTGGAAATAATGTTATAAATATATTTTGTTTTGCATTCACAGCAATATGGAATAATCACCAATTTTGGAATAGTTACCAATGGAGAAATCTCTGATTGTCTTACTAATGATGGACTATCAAATTCTTCCAAGGTTATTTCAGAGACAAGTCATGCCTTTAAAGTATCTGAGGATTGTACAGAAGGTAAGCCATTTGCATTATACTACTAAGATACTGTATATGATCATTTTTGCTTGAAATGTTTATAATCTACAATAATATTCTGCATGGTCTATACATGTTAACCTTTACTTAATATAACAATAAATTAAGTGAGGTTTTTTGGTGAGAAAAGTTTTAATTGTTGTTTAATTCCCAGTTTCAGGAAAACTAATATACCTATTGTAAATATCATTTTAATATATTAAGCATAATATATTGAGTATATATTATTTGTAGACATTAACTTTGCTTTGGTTTCCAGCAGTGTATTTGAAAACCACTTGAAATGTTAAGTTTTAGGTAGTAATTACCGATGGTGCTTAACTTGTGACCACTATTGGGGCCAGAACTTTCCTCACTAAGCAGTGTGGTCATTATGTGAGTCATCACATAACTATCCCTGATTTCTACAACCTTTTTTTTTGCCATGGTTAAACAAATCCAGTTTTCCCCATTGATTTTGCTTGTCATAAGCCAGCTGGGAAGATTGCAAATGGTAAACATATGATCCTGGAATGCTGCAACTATAGTAAATACATGCTGGTTGCTAATTACCTACATTGCAGTCATGGACCACAGGCATGCTGTGATGGTCATGTGAGGACCAGTCATAAGTCATTTGTTTCAGCACCATCATTACTTTTTAACAGTTGCTAAACAAATGGTCATAAGTTGAGGCCTGCCTGTAAAATTAATTACATTGCTATTCATAATAGTTATTTATAATAGTTATTACAGTGATATTTATCCCAGCCATATATCCATTAACATAGTTAATGAAACTTTGTGTATTTAAATTATTGGCTCTGTTATATTAAAAAAAATTACAAGCAAGGAATTTTAATTTGTACAATCCACTTAAAGTAATACAAATACAATATTGTTGACAGTGATATACGTTTCTGTTCAGATATTTTAAGTTACAGTCTTTCTTTGCCTTCATATAATTTGAAAAAGTGGATATTTTTTAACATGTTACTAATTCTGTTTGGGGGGTTTAAGTGGAAAGGTAAGTGATAGCATACTTAAATGATCTATCTATATTGTGGTCCCTTCAACTTTCTTATAATGATCTTTTAGGCAGAGCAAATGAAGTGGAGATGGAAAATGAGATTTTGGAGAATATGGGGAAAAGAGAACTCTTACAGAATACTGAGCATGAGGAAAATACAGAGGACACTAAGGATCAGGAAATCATTCTCAAATGTTTGGAAATAAAGACGTTCCCTGCTGGTGAAAATGTAGAGGTTAAGAAAGTCACTGAAGCCAAAATTACATCAACACTGAAATTAAATAGTGTACCTGAGGATCCTGTAAAAAATTATTCAGAATGTATCCCAGAAATTGTTTATTCCCTTAAAAAAAGATATTCAAGTGAATTAAAGGTTGAAGGGGCTTCACCAAGTCATATTTCAGAAGAGAAAGTGTCTGATAGAAATATAAATGTAACTCATAATCAAAATAATATGGCAGATCCTAATACTGAGAATAATCAGGAAATACATGCCAATTTAGAAATAGTTCCACAACAGCAAAATAAAGAAAAACACATAGATATTGTAGTTGATGAATCAGAAGGTAATAGTGAAGTATTTTGGGAAGCTTTAGATTTTATAAATAACGGACACATGGCAATTTCTACTTCACCAGAATTGGTAGAAGTTATCCTTATGAAAGCCTCAAGTATTGATCATAATAGTGAACAATCAAAAAATAGGGTTGTTGAGGGAGATTTAAACAGAGAACTTCTTAAAAATGAACAAAATGCTGCCATAATTGCTGTAGCAAAAGAGCCAAAAATAGAAATATGTGAAACAAATGAAGAGAATGAGGCACTAAGTATGATATTGCAGCAGGAGGGCCAAGTAGTAGATTCTACAGAAGAACAAAAAAGAACATCGTGTATTACGAAAGTTACTGTGAATCAGTTTGGAGAAAAACAAGAACAAGTTAAAATTGAAGAAATCCAGTCACCACCTTCAAAACATGATGCAGCTATTGACGAACAAAATGAGCAAGATTTAGTAGCAAATAAAGAAAATGTTGAAGATATGAGAGCATTAAATGCTTATTTAGATTTTGAGGAAAAGAATGACAAGTGTACTGTGAAAGATGTTCATGCAGAACAAACTGTTGTACATTATATAAATCAAAGCAAATGCCAGACCCATGAAGAAACAAATGCAAACATAGAGAATGATTCCAGCTGTAATATAAAATCAGCTTGTGTAGATGGAGCTCTGGCTGTTACTGATACAATAAATAAAGAAGTTGCTGACACTCATAAAGAAGACTTGTCTGCAGGAAAACAGTGTGTAGATAAAGAAGACAATACTATTGAGTCTGCTGTAACTACAACTGTAATGAATGAGGGTATTGAAGAAGCATGCACTAGGAATAAAGAGGATAAAAACTGCAGAAAACTGCATGAAGAAATTCACAATATTATGCCAGATATTGAGGAGGTTGTTTGTCTTGAATCACAGAAGACTGAATTCATTGAACAAAATGAACCCAAGAGTGAAGAAGTAGTTGTAGAAGAATATCATGAAGCCTTAGATGTTGATGAGGCTTCTTTTGGAGAATTGAAAACTTCTGAAAAGAGAGATGATCAGACTAATAAAGATAATGAAAAGGTCATCTCAGCAGATGAAGTTGGATCTGAGGCTCTTGTGGAAGAAAGTGACAGTATTCAGCACCTGAAAGGACATACCTTTGAAGAAGCCAAATTTATGCAGATTGATTTCTCTGTTTCTGAAACAACAAAGTCACAATATGGACTGCTGGAAGACGAAAGTAAATTGTTGGATGGAATCAGTTCAGAACAAATTGCTGCTTATACACCAGAACAGTTAGAAAACTTAGAGAGTGCTATGAATGAAAGTCAAGAGGAAACACAGAGGTATAAGAAGAGTAAAGGTAAATCTCGAGAAGACTGCATTATATCATAAATTCAGAAACTGGATCATTGTTCGACATTATTTACCAGGCATCTGTTAAAAAAGCAAAAATACTTTAATTTTTAAAAAGTCAAAATTTGAAAGAAGTTCTATTGTTGAATTAATGTCATATTCTAAATAATGCAAAGTAGTCAATAATGTATGGATGTGGAGACTACCTTTTTTGTCAAGTTTAATTATAGTCTAATCAAATCTATTATCCTAATTCCCAATGAGCTGCTTTTTAATATTCTCTAAAAAATTTAATGAATGCTAGGATTAGAAAATTCTTGCTAGCTTTTTGATAAAATATCACTAGTCTGATACATTTATATTTGATTTCAAGTTATTATTATATAGAATGCTTGCTTCAATACTGTTACACTTTCTGAACAAAAAGACAAGGTCAGGTTGAATGAATAACAATAATGAAATTATGACTATTTGCAGAGAATTAGTAAATTTTCACTGTGTATGTTTCACCCACTCCAAATTAATACCATTTCTATTGCCAAAGATATAGGCATAAAGTACCATAAGAATTACTGATTACTATTTATAGTAAAAAAAATCATTTACTAAGAATCATATAGAATTCAGCCACACCCAATTCAGTCTTTTCTTACCAAATCAAACTCTTATTGGTTTGAATCAGTGGATTTAACTTAATGTCTATGCAATTGATACATAAATCACATGCTCTTGATCCAATTTAGTATTTATAATTTTGTCTCTCTTCCTCTGTCTCTTTCACTGTAATCTATGTAGGTTTATGTATCATAAAAACTTTCAGTTCACTTTATATTTAGCCTTTGTATTAAGTGATATTTACTGCAAATTGTAATCAATTTTCTTAAAAGATACTATCATTTGTACATTGCCTTGCAAAGAAATAGATATAATTGAATGTAAACCAATATTTTCTTATATTGGGAAATCTGTCCCTTTAATTTTTGCTGGAATATAAGCAGTCTTGATTGTTTCTGTAATAATTATCTCTATTTAACTCACAAAATGAAAGATAATAGCTACTGCAGTTTTATAATAAATATTTAACACAGTCTTTTTCTAAAAGAGAGTTAATAATGGCTAAAATAAATCTGAAAGTTTTTCATTTATGAGCATATTTTTTAAAAAACATAAAACATTTATGAGCATATAAAAACTTGGAACACTTTTAATGAACAAGGTAATTTTAACTTCTGCTCTACCATACTAAAATTAATGCAAACTCTAAAATTTGTATAGCTATACAGCAGTGTAACAATGTATTACATAAAAATAGAAAAACATTAAAAATATAAAGTATCAAATGTATATAATGGAAATAAAGATTTATATTTTAAAATGTCTCTTCTCATTTCTTTGTAAAATTGATTTAATTAATAGTTCTAATATTTTGTGCAACTGCCATTTCAGCAAACCACATACATATTTTAAAAGGCATATTAATAGTTTTAAAGAAATTGATAATTATTACTCATTCCCTATGCTGAGAAATGTATCTGTAAAATAAGCATCCAATATTTTGGGAGGAAAAAAAGATGAGGGATGATGAGACAAGAGGAGAGGAGAAACTGTCATTGAAAAGGATTACTATTTTATCTGAGATGGTTATACTGTTCAGTTGTTTCACTGAATATGTATACTGCACAAGTTGTATTAATATGCGTTAGGCAGCAGTTCTTGTAATTGTAAAATAATATGGAAATAGGAGGAAGGAATATTAGGTATATTCACTGCCTTGAATTTTTTATAAAAAATAATAAAGGTGAGATTGAATAATTCTAATCTCATCTAGTCTAAATGTTTTATACCCACAACATCATTTATAAGGAATTCTTATTTATTCCTTATAAATAATTTAATAATATATGGTTTTCTTTTGTATCTTAATCTTAAAATTTTTATTTTCAGCTTATTTTTAATGTAGTAGCCATTCATTACAAAATATTTTTCTTTACATTAAAAAATTCTCACACAATGCCCAATGTGGCATTACATTGTAACTAAGAAGTCACATAGCATATATTCTCACATGATTTCCACTAAATTCAAATGTTCTTTCTTTCAGTAAATATGTAAATTCTTTACTAAATTTGTTATTAATTTTAATTATTGTCAGTTTTTGAGTATGCTTCATGCTGCTAGATTAATTTATGTGAGATTATTACAGAAGTGTCCTTTTTTGCAAGCAACTTGTATTTTTTCATAATTTTATTATTATTAGTTAGAGCCCTCTAAAATATTGAATTGTTTATTATTTGCAGCAAAAATACTAAATTAGGGAAAAGCCTGTTAATGATCTCCAAAATAAATGTGAAAAGGGCTTGGCCTTCCAAGTTTATAATGTAAAAATGTTGAATGTCTTGTGTTCAGCTCCATGAAATGAATCATTTGGTTGCATAATCACTTTGTCAGAATGGAATTGTTTGCTTATATCCCGTTGTGTTCATCTGATGGTAAAACAAATTCCTCCTCTCCAGATTCACCATGTTGCTCCAAACTGTTAGGGAGCCATCCAGTACAAATTATTTGAAAGAGTGAAAAGGTTAGGCAAAGAGAAGAAGGCATTCCCAACTGGTACCATTGTGTAGGAAATCCAATACTCAGCTTTTAATTTTTTTTAATAAAATAGGGATATAATTCCGAACTTGACCTTCAGCCAGCTATCATTCTTATCTTTTAAGAATGTTTGGCATATGTGGATCTAAAGCAGTGTTTCTCAACGTTTGTGTGACGGTGACCCCCGTCACACAAACGTGCCGCGCATGCGCGGCGCCCCCCCATGTGCAGCGCGCATGCACGGCGGGGCCCCATGTGCAGCACGCATGCGCAGCGCGCATGCGCGGTGCCACCCCCTGAGGGGGGAAAATGGCGGATTGCCTTGTTTGGCGACCCCCGAGAAATGGTCGATCGACCCCAAATGGAGTCGCGACCCATAGGTTGAGAACCGCTGATCTAAAGGCATTGTTGTGCAGTAAATATAAATAAAAGTAGATGTTGGTACTTTGTGGCTGCTAATTTCCCATTTATAAAAATAATTGAAAAGGAAAATTAAGTTAGGCAGCGGAGACGCCCATGAATACGGTATTGCCTTTACTTTAAAAGAGATTTTAAAGAAGTGACTTTTATATGTGTTCGTAAAGTGGCTTGGGAGAGACCGTTAATTCTCTTTAACTTACGTGTTTGGAATACTTTGTAATTATTTTGTATAAAATGGGTAACATTTCACATATTGAAGTAAAATGGATGTTTTGAAATCTAGACTTATTTTTGTACAATTGAAAACAGTAGCAAGTTTTGGAGACCCTTTACATTTGACAAATCTTTTAATGTGGAAAAATCTAAAACCATCATATGCAAGTGTTAGATTCCAGTTTATGAAAAACATTAAGAAGTTTTATACTGTGTCTGAATGTATCAGTATGTAGGGCTGTGCAATGCTTTGAATTCTGGTGCCAGAAAGTGCCTGGAAGCAGCATGCAGGAGAATAAATGAATTCAGTTGTCTGCAGCATCTTAAAGCATATGCACCCCTTCCTAGATTATGTGGTGGCCTCTGCAATACTGAACAATTCCACAACAAAAAATGTTGTAGATAGGTGCTAGATTCATATTCTCACATAATCTGAGGTCTCCTTCATGACATTTGAACTATGCAGTTTGATAATTGTGTTTTAAATGTTATGTTGTAAAATTATATATATTTGAACAATAAAAGATTTGTGAGATTTTTGTATTCCAGTGTTTGACCATAGAATACCTGCATGCTAACAGTAGAAGATAGTGCTTTGCATGCTGTTGGGTGCTTCTACTGAAGTGACAAGCATGCTTTGTGAGATTGGCATAACCTCTCTTGGGTGAAAATCCCTTCCCAGCCCTGTCTGTGACATCATTTACCATGGTACGTGCATAATTTCATTTATCGTTTGCCCCACTAACCTTCATCATTACCTTTCTTTAAAAATGTGTAACACATCAAATGTTTTGTAACTTTTTGTTCTCTCTTATAGACAGTAGATTAAAAAGACTTCTGGATGAGCGAGAATTTTTACTTGAACAGGTAAATAAGAGCTGAATACTTCTTGTTTAGTCTGTTTCAGTATACTCATTGTTGGCTCATAAACTGCTGCTGATTTAGATGCTAGATTTTCATGGAGTGAAAAGAGTTGCATGAAATGGCTTCGCCGAGTTAATTACAATTTAAATATATCATTTAAATAAATGTATAAATTAAATATATTTTTTATTTCTATTTTTTATTAATTTTTATGCCACCCATCTCACTGATATAAGCAACTCTGGGCGGCTTACAATATAATGAAAAGTGAAAAAAGTAATACAAGGTAATTAAAATTCTCTAATTTGGACTGAATATAGTGTGTAGGTTTAGCAACTGGAATTTGAATGCTAAAAATGGGCTTAGAAAAATTAAAGGCTTTTGTGTCTTTGTTCTAGCTTCCTTACTGGAAGCTCTCTGTCTTTCCATTTAAGAATTAAGCAGGTGTAGAAATGGCTTGTAGCATCAACCAAGATTCTTGTTCTTTCCATCTTTTGCTTCATGGCTTTTAAATATTCTTCCCAAGGAACACTTTAAAAAAGCTAGGAGATTTTGGAATTATTGCAAACTTTGGTTGACATAACATACTATTAGTTCTGGATTTTTTTAAAAATCAATTTCCAGATATTGTTCTATATAGTACAATATACTATTGATTTATCCGTAGAGGAGAAATGGCAGAATATGAAACTATCTATTGGATCAGGAGGGTTCTGTTAAGAGTTGTTTTTATCCAATCTTTATTATTTTTATAAATAACTCAAGACAGCAAACATACCTAATGCTCCTTCCTTTTTTCTCCACAACAACAACACTATGAGTAGGGTTGAGCTGAGAGTGCATGAGTGGCTCAAAGGCACTTAGTTGGCATTCATGCTTAAGATGGAACTAGAACTCACAACCTCCCAATTTCTTGCCTGATGCTTTAACCACTAGACCAAACTGGCTGTCTCAGTTTTTCATTTAAAAAGATGTGCAATGTATTACTACTATCCTGATAACTGAATGTGGCATCTCCAAAATCTTTTCCATATTTTTTGAAAGGGGAGGATTGGTAACCATCATTATTCTTCAGTGTTATGTTACTAATGTCTGCGGCATAAGCTGAAAATTCTCTTGCCATTTGCCAAGTTTTCCTCTTTTATAATTAATCCTTCATAAACCAAAACAGAGGCACCAGGCAATCTTCTGAAAGTTCTAATGATTCTATTCATGTGTAACTTGGATCATTTCTCCTTGGATTGATTTTTTTATGGCTTTCAGATTAAAAAATTAAAGGGACAACTGGAAGAGAAACAAAATAGTAAAATTGAGAAGTTACATTTGGAAGATGGAGTCCTAGAAAATGGGCCAGACATGCATGTGATTGATCTTCAAAGTAAGGTTAATCCCCAACTTAAATTTTTTAAATTTAGTACTTAGTTTTTTTTTTGTCTTTACAGAATGAATATATCAAATGAAATAGGCTTCTCAGTTATTCATGCAGAGATACAATAGCTTTTTTCTGAGCTGTCATTCTAAACTTCTGGAGTTAACATGGTCTCAAATGAGTGGCATTTGTTCTCCTACACAGTTAAAGAAATGTAGGAAAAAAAGCTTTTTCAGAAGTCTAATCAGCTGTATACCCAAAGTTGGCCTTTGTAGAAGGAAAGAGCAATTGTGTCATTCCCATTTGGGTGGGAAGAGTGGTAGAAAAGTTGCAATGATGCCCAGTACCAAGTTCATATATTTCAGAAAATAAACAGTACCCTATCCTACATTCTAACAATTCAGATGCTGTAGAGGCAAGATTTGGCAGCAACATAGGGATTAAGGCTGATGAGAATTGGGCAGCTATAATGAATGGTGGCAATCATCATTAATTTTACTTTGGGTAAAATTTCTGATTGTCCACACTGCCCACAGTTATTTGATCAAGAACCAACTTAATACACAACTTCAGAATTCTAGCTATGTTCACCAGTGAGTCCTAAACATCAAGAAGTGCTCCTTCTATCCCAAAACAGTCTCCATCCAGTTGATATTTTTTCTGAGAAACTGGAGAAAGAGGTGATCTTGATTCATTTCTGTTCTCCTTAGTTCCTCACTTCTTCCCTCACATAAAACTCTGCTTGAGAGTACTGGGAGAATCCTCTCGAAATAAGGGGAAGTATTAACTGAAATCTGAAGAGGGAGGGAGAACCATCTGCTCGTGGGCAACATCCTTAGCTGTGTGATTAATGCTAATGGATGCTAAAGGAGTATTTGAGAATTATTTTGATGTCAGACATGATTTTATATTGTTAT